GGCCAGATTTCAGACAGACAAACAGTGAATTTTATATGACATATATTAACCCAATTTCGTTTAAGGTGATGAAGAACTGGCAGTAGAATTTTCCCATAATGATATGAGAAGAGCTGAGGTTTCCATTGAATTTCACTTAGTCTTGCCTTCCCAAAAGTTCTTCTCATCCCAGCTGGAGTGGACTGCAGTTTCGACCTCGCATCGGTATTATCAACACCCCCAGCGGGAGTCGAACCGTGACAGTGTAGAATGGAAGTATGACTTATTAACTATTCGGCTACATTTCCACGAGTGCCCTTGTGTCACAGGGCGGATGTGAATTTCGAGGATACCATGTCTTTTTCCATATCACATTCTTGGGTGGGATTGTCGATGAAGCCAACGTATTTTTGCTATTACAATCGACTACATTACTTATTTTTCGTATGTAAGTAGAGTTTAGAGACTACCAGTAAATCAGCTATATGAGATGTATTTAAGTTGATGAAGGACTGGCAGCAGAATTTCCCCAAGGGTACTTGTGGCAATGTGGCCGAGTGGTTAACGTGTCATGCTCACCTTCTGCACTGTCACGATTTGACTCCCGCTGGGGGTGTTGATAAGACCGATGCGAGGTCGAAACTGCAGTCCACCCTGGATTAGAACAACTTTAGGGAAAGCAAGGCTATGGGAAATATATTGGAAACCTGAGATCTAACCATATCATTGTGGGAAAATTTTACTGCTGTCCTTCATCACCTTAAACGAAATAGGGTGAACACATCTCATATTACTGATTTACTGGTAGTCTCGAAACTCTACTTACAAATGAATTTGATGTTTATCAGCGGCCAATTGACGAGCATGTAGGGAAAAAAACGGGGGTAGGATGTAGGTCAGGAGCCCTGCAAACGGCATCTGGTACCGGTGGGTGAGATGATTACGCTTCGTTAAACCCACTTGTAACGACGCACGCTTGGGAAACATTGGGGGAAATTCGATCAGAGAATTGTGTGAATAAGTGGATGGGACAAATGAAGTTGGTTTGAGAGAAAGAGATGCGGCATTAGAAGGTAGAACAAAAATAGGGACGAGAAGTGATGCCACAACGGTTGAACAAAAAATTGCCTTCACTTGTCACTCTGGGCCATTGATGGCGCCTCTCACTGAAGGCGCCGGCAAAACGTTTGGGAATGTACCAAGTCAATGGTGCAATGCTGGAAATCACGGGTACTATGGCAGAGGACACAGGACTAGGTACGTTCCCCAAGGTCTCCCTGACGCTCCGACCAAGTTGCGAAAACAAGTTCGGACCAACACTATAAAGCTAAAGGAGACTTCGACCAAGCAGAAGGTCAAACCATCTTGGTCTTCATATCTATAATTTGATGGAGTTGATAGAGAGGCTGGTTATGCTTGAAACTCATATTTGTCGTTTATGTCAGTATGAATGGTGTTGAGTGGTTAATGCGGAAATTTATTTACTTACGATTCGATTCTCCCTTATGAATGTAGATAAAACCATGGGAGGATAGAAACGGCAGGTAATTTCGGGTATAAATGACCTTTTGGCCTTAATGTCAGTGACTTTTAATCCCCAAAATATGCTTCCTCTTTACTTAACTCAATTTTAACAGTAGTTTTGGCGGGTCAAAGTAAACCAAAAACGTAATTTGTTTTGCAATTTATTTTAAAACCGGAGGAAGAATAATTTATTCATAAAGTGGCATTGCGGTGCAACAATTGTAGATAACATTTTTTGCCCTCATTTACTCTCGTTACTTGGGATGAATTGAGTGTCCAGACGACTTTGGGTCTGCCTTCTTGCGAACATTTTCGGAATCGCAAATTAACCTTGAAATCATTGGGTCATAATAAGTGCATCTGTTTAACGGGTTTGCCAACTCATCGGAACTGTAACCCAAAGGTTGAGCATTGTTGGTTCGGGAGTTTTGAAAGAGTTACTGAATTAAAGAAGTGGGTTGACCTCATTGTCACAACTTGGTCTTGTTGTCAGGGGGACTTAGTAGAAAGCACCTAGTCCGAAGTCATCTGCCATAGTAGGTGTCATAATTCCCAGCATCAGACAATGAACTTGGTACATTCTAAACCGTTTCGCCGGCATCGTAGTGGGAATCATGACAACTACTATGGCAGACGACTTCGGACTAGGTGCTTTCCACTTATTCCCCATGACAACAAGACCAAGTTGCGGCAACGAGTTCAATCCACTTCTATAAATAGAAAAGAGACTGCGACCATACCAGAGGCCACACCATCTTGGTCTTCATATCTTCAAATACTGAATTAAAGTTTCAATCACCTATACGTCGTATAGAGTGATGGAGGTCTGACCTTTGAAGTTTCTCACAATGGTACAAGTTTCTCATAAAAATAACAAGGCCTTGATTTTCGAAAGTTATTCCCATTCAAGCTGGGCTGCAATTTTGACTTCGACAAAGCGAGCCGAACCTGGGTAGTGTATCATATAACCTCGACATGTTGCTACCCTGTAACTAGTTTCTCAGGGTTATAAGGCGGACGTGAATTTGACGGAGGGTCAAGCCTTAATCATATCACATTAGGACATGGAGTAAGTATATTGCAGTCTAAAAGAGCCAAATTATATCAAAAATTTCCTAAATGTGGAAAGAGAATGTGTCTAGGCTTCACTCAATCCACTCAAAAGACTAAAGTTGAGTGAGAATTAAATAACCAACTCGGAAGTTGTAATAGTGAAGGCGGCGAGACAAGGATATGCGATGGGTGAACGTACCAAAACCAAAGGACTTTTGAACAGAAAGTTGGTCAAGTGATGAACTTAACTTGTCGCTTTTGACGATTTGTTGTTTAGTCCTGAAAATACTAAGGCCTATTGACAACAACGCCGACTATGCTGCCCGCGAAACGTCTGGTAAAGTATAAATCCACAGTCGAAGCTGGGAACTATTCTGAAAACTATGGTAGAGGACTCTGGATAGGATGCATTCATTTAGGTTACTCTGAGAACGCGACAAAGTTGGAAACCAGGTCAAACCCATTCTATAATGGAATTGCTAATAAGGAAAATGGGTATTTTGTCATTACAATGGACGTATTTTCTTAGAAAATAGAGGTTTTGCCCAGCAGTAAAATCTTGAATAAAATTTTCAGTCACCTTAAGTCGCATAAGATGATACAGGAGTGGTAGTTGAATTGTTCCCACAAAGTTTTAATTTGGCCTCAAATTTCCATTGATAGTTTTGAAACCTGCTTTATATAAATATAGTTACGGAATGTCAGAATGATCGAGGATTTCCTCTTGGAGATCCAACAGATTTCAATATATCTACTATGACTATGTTTATTGTGAAGAAACTGGATCTCATAATGTGAATGGAGGGTGAAAATTTAAGTTTTTCCCATAATGCTATGATTTTATTCACCTGGCCTTACCTCTAAACGGGTCTTTCTATCCGGACTGGATGGCAATTTAAACCTAACCTCATCGTCTCATCAGCTATCCTAACAGAATTCTCTACTGATATGGATGCTGGTCGAAAATGTGGTCAACTTGGGATGGGAAAACGTTTTAATAGGCCAGTATAGGTGTATTTTAATGATACAATGAGGCTTTAACATCATAATTTGGGGAAAAACTCTACTATATATCCTGAATTACTTTCAGCAGCCTAAGGTGACTAGGTCCTTGTGCAAGGGTTCAATATATCCTGTAGCCCCAGAATACGGTTTCGATCTAAAAAGGATACTTTGCTTCTTCACTCTTCCCAAACCCTCTCACGTTCGGACAGTCTATGTCTCATGCTCACAGAAGCACCTCACCGTGTGCTACACACCACCCTGGCAACTGCCCTACCAAGGTTTGGCAGAAGATCTGTTGCAGCACAAAGCGATAGCCTTCGTCTCAGGCTCCAGCTCCGAGCACATGTCGGACAGCCCTCGCCAGACGTCAAGGGCTCAGGCCAGAGAGTCTGGACAGTCGCCTACTTCTTCGTCGTTGACGTCCACGGCTGGTTCGACTTCGGCTCCAGTCAGTGGACGCCAGGCGTCTGGCGGTGAGTCTGTAGGCTCGAGCGAGGCCGGAGGGACTCGAACACGGAGCGGCCTACTTCGCGTAGACAGTCAGTGTCAGCTGAGTCCGGTACAGGTTTTGGTCGATGGGGCGGGCCAGCCAGGCCGACCGTCCAGACAGGCCTGGGCCTTTTCTGCATCTCCTTCGCTGGCCCCGGCGACATTGACAACCTCTGGACCAAGCTCCACTGGCTTCTCTTCGGGCTCGTCACCACAGGTCCCGACGCCGAGAAATTTGCGCGGCGCCAACGGCACAACCGGGTTTCGACCGGGTGAATTGAAGTGGTGCACTCGACTTACCTTCTCGGCCGGACAGAAACTGCCGTGCGGTCTGAATAGGATGAATTATGTGGTGAGTCAAGGTACCCTAGCAACTCAAATACACCTCTGGTACCTGTGTTTGGCGCCTACCGACCATTCTCTACGGAAACAGATA